GATAAGGTTTGTTACTAACTGTAAAGCCTCGACTCATCATTGCGATGCGTCCACTCGAGTGGGATGGCCTTCTTTGCCCACCAGGAGGTTGGGACATTGGGACACTTTTATTTATAAGGCTTTGCTTGGACTGCTACCATCTTACATTTGTGATCTAATCACAAAAAAAAAAAGCGTCGATTCACATCCGTTGCGTTCAAATGATTGTTTCTTGCTCTCTGTCCCATTTCTCCTTACAGAATTGGGGAAAGGGGTCTTTGTTTACTCTGCCCCGTCTACATGGAGCATGTTGTAAAAAGTCTGGAAGTTAACTGAACTGATCCCATTGGGCTGAGGGCATTAGAAATTGCTTCCTTGAATTGCGATTGTTTTTAATAGTGGTTGTTTGTATTGTGTTTTAATTGTGTAAATCTATGTAAATGTATACTTTTTGCTGCCTCTTGGCCAGGACCCCCTTGAAAAAGAGGTTTTTAATCTCAATGGGACTTTCCTGGTTAARTAAAGGAAACACAACTACTTTAAACATTTAATTTTTGTTAGATTTATTTAAAGCTGCACTTCAGACTCAATTCTTCTGCCGTTACTAGCAAAAAACACAAATTGTGGTTGGCCCGCAATGCATCTTGGGATAGAGCGGGCTGAGAATGATTCACCGAACTCGTCTCTTAAATCTGCAAAAAGGAGGACGCATTTAAGTACCTCAAAGTGATAATTGAGTAAAAGTATGAGTATCTTATCATAAAATTACTTTGGTAAAAGTTCAAGTCTTCTCTAAGAAAAGTACGTGAGAAAAGACTGAAAGTATCTGACATTTATTGTACTTGGGTACCAAACATAATTGTCTGATGTAAAATATACTTAAGTCCTAAAGTACTGAGTAAAAGTGAGCGTCCAAACTGGGAGCTGACCTCCACAAAAAACTATTTATTAAAACTCATAATCAGCTGCGTCTCTGCTASGCTCATCTTCATTCTCAGTTACATTTGTTTGACATCCTGTTGGAGTGAGACGTGATGTGTGTCACATAYAGGTGTGATGATTGTACAAACTAATAAGATGTCAGAACTGTGTATTCACTCCATCCAGGAGGAACAATTTATCTGGATAAGTTTTTATTTTAGTTTTTTAAACAAGAACAAGCCAGAAATAATGATAATAAACTACTTTTTACATAGAAAAAAATGTAAGGAGTAGAAGCAAAAAAGACAGCTGAAAAATAATTACTCAAGTAATGTACTTGCTAAGTATTAGTAATAATACACAGCGGGTAAAATAAGTATCGAACACGTCAACATTTTTCTCAGTAAATATATTACTAGAGGTGCTAATGACATGAAATTTTCACCAGATGT